AGTTACAAACATCTGAGTTACATACAACCCCTACTTACAAACCAATTACTGTACAGCAGGGGGTCTCAGGCTGCAGCCAAAGTGTACCGCGCAGCATTTCAGTAGTTGTAATGCTACTGCGCTTGTGTGGATGAGGAGTGTCAGCCTTTTTGGGCCAGGTTCGTAGTACTGTGCGTACATTACAGGAAGTTGGCTCTCGTTAGACGTGCAGACGAGGGGTGTCTGCCTCTTCTGGGTCACTGTGAGCTTTTTACTGCGGTCTGTATCCTCATTAGAAAGATTTCATCTCACTTCCTGTCCTTGAGATAACCGGAAGTGAGAGGAAATGTACCCCTAGGAAGAGAAATTTACTCCTGTAAGAGTGATCATGGGAAAAAAGTGGTCTCCACTGAAGCTGTATCACCAATCCTTGTTTCCACAACAAGCCAAAATTTTCAAAATCCAATTGTCACAGGGACAGAAAGTGAGGTGAAATCTTCTGAACAGGGGCACACACAGCACAACAAATGTTACAGGGGGTTAACCCTTCCCTATGCTATCCAGAACTAAAAAAAAAAAACAAATTTACATTTTACAACATTACACTTGAAAAATGTACCTGTTCCAACTTACATACAAATTCAAGAACAAATCTACAGTCCCTATCTTGTTCATAACTAGGGGACGGCCTGTAAATTGACCACAAAAAAAGTACCTCACAACCACAGCTGACAATTACATTAATGACCTTTTCTCTGTCCTGCTGATTTTTCTTTTTAAAAAACAAAAGAAAAAAGACACATTCATGAAAGCCTATGAACATTTTAAACATCATTTGCAGATTTTATTCAGGACAGATTGTAACTGTTCACTGTTTTAATAGCATCTAAGAAGAATGGTCCTGTCTATCTGCAGCTTCTGTTGTGGCTTTGGAAAAGCCATTCATTGTTAGGAGGTACATCCCTCTCTCTGATACAAAGAGGGCCAGATATTGTATGGTGGGGGGAATGGAGAAGATTAAGTAGGGGATGAGAGGAGCATAGTGCAGGCTGTGGAAGTACGGGCAGAGGGGTTATGTGAGTTATATGGACGCAGCATGCACTGAAGAGGAGGATGAATGATGGGTGAGGATATGAACAAAAGGAGCTGAGGCTTGATGCTATCAGAGTGATTGTGCAATCTCATTGGCTCAATGTGGATAAAGCACACTGTTCTTAAAACAACCCCGTCACACTTTTAAATCTACAACGGATGGGGGTTTCAGCACTAAAGGCCTTTATGCAAGAATGAAGCTCTGGCCAATTAGCCTACTCCCCTTCGGTTTTGTGGCACAATTTAAAATTTTATATTGAAAGTACCTTTAAGAATGATAGCTGATAATTAAAATCTGTGCAAATCTTTCTAGCTTGTGTGTCACATAGAAACACAAAGCAATGCTGTTGGGCAAATAATCTGAGCATTAACATTGCAGACTAAAAACAGGTGTTTTTCTGCTGTTCTAACTTTAGAACCACATAATAAACTAAGGAGATAGTGCAGTACATAAAACGCACTGGTCATAAGCATTCCTGTCACTTTATTAGGAAGTCTTTGTTTCCGTAGCTTCATTAATAGTGAACTCTGACCTCATGAAGAGACTGAGGAAACCAGTACATGTCCTTATTTGATCTTCTCCACTGCCATATCTATCTCTGAATTTTGGCCATGGAGACAGGGGTTCTGCTACTGCAGAGACAACAATGAACTCTGTGCTAGCTTTTCTTACTGCCTTGTTGCCCCTTCACGAACAAGGGAGAAAAACATCTACGTGCAAAGAACCATAGCTTAACCGTTTGTTTTTGTCAACATTTCAGAATTCTAAGATATTTATTAGTTTATCCATTAACATATTCCTCTCTGGATTAAAGCTAGAGAAAACATGTGCTACTAAGCATGAATCAAAAGGGTTTGTCCTACTTTTTGTCCAATTTCACCATTTGGTGTGTTAGATTCCAGCTTCCGAAAGCTGGTATAGTTTTCTGCATATGGGATTCAGAAATGTCACACTCAAAATATTTATCACTTGCAAAAAGGTAATATTTTCTTCCTGACTCTTAACCTTACTGAAACTAATTAACCCTACAATATTCTTAAACTCCAAGCTAAATGTGGAACCTAATTCTAAAAACTAACCTTAAAGTGGCACTAAACTCAGGAGTTAAAGCTTAAATATGCATTCAAGTACCTTAACTATTAACAAATATGAAGCTTATTTGTGTATCACTCAGCTGTAGATTCTCAAATCATCTCTGAATTGGTGCCGACAGTGTTCCCCATGGACCCTGTGTGTGTTGTAAAGTAGCCACCGCGATGGACTACAATCTCATATTTAGTTTACTAATTTGTATTGAGATTGTAGTCCATCACAGGAGTGAGCTTGGAGTGATGGCTACTTTACAACACACACAAGGACCATGGGGAAGAAAAGTAGTCACCCTCCAGAAGGAGGGACGGTGTCAGCATGAATTCGGAGATGATTTGTGGCCAGACCCTGAAGACGGCCCGTCCAATGAAGAAGGGAGAGACGGATCGCCCAAAGTTCCAGCACGTTGATCGAGAGCCGAGACTCCTCCGACGACCAACGGCCCTGAGCTGTCCAAACGTCCAGGACGCCCCCCCAGCCCAACAGACTGGCATCCGTGGTGACCACCGTCTAGTGAATGGGAAGGAAGGACTTGCCCAACGCCGGGCGCAGCAGAGCCCTGGAAACCGAATACATCGTACGCGCCACAGGCTCCGCCTTCCTATCCCGAAAGGAAGGCGAATCCTCCACCGGGATAACTGTAGCCTTGTTCAGGCGGGAGACCGGTGGATCCACCGTGGGAGACCGGTGTACCACTTAGACAGGAAGGACTCCTCAAACGGGTAACGAACCGAGAAGCGTTTGGGGATGGAAAACGACTTGCTTGGACGCTTCCATTCTTTGTAGACAAAATCATCAAAAAAGGGAACGTAAGGAAAAACCTTAGTGGAACGCTTACTCTTGTGCATCCCAAACTGAACCGGCGGGAGCGCCGAAGAGCTCTGGGTCTCCTCCATTTTTAGCGTTTCCTGCACAGCGCGAACCAAGGCTGCGACCAGTTAGCGCTCCTGGACCATATGGGAGGCCCCCGACTCGTCGTCACTACCAGAGTCCGGCTGGGAGGAATCCCCCTGGTCGGGCTGCGCGGATGCGGCAGAAATCTCCCCCTCTTCCTCTGAATCCCCAGAAAGGACAGGGGAGGGGGGCGGCAAGGCACGCCTCAGTGGAGGGCGCTGCGTCAGAGTGCGCTCAATATGGGACACAAAACTGTCAATAGTGGACGAAAAAACCTCCAATGACAAAGCTGCGCCAGTGGATCCCCCACCCAAAGAAACCGCAGGCAGCAGGGGAGACTGAGAAAGGGGCGCAGAAGTACAGGCCGCGCAAAGGGGCGACGTGGGAGATGTCCCTGAAGAGAGGCCGCAGCCCTCACAAGGCACTGCGGCTTGTCCGTCCCCACAATCCATGGCCAGGCAATACCTGTCAATATAGAGCCAGCCGGCAAATAGAGAGACCCCAGCAGGCACAGCCCCCACAGCAGTTGCCCCCAGCAACCGTCCCCCGGCAGGCAGACGACCCTCCCACAGCACCTGACTCCCAGTGTCCCAGTGCATCCTCACCCGACCGCGTCCCGGCGTGAAAGACCGATCCAGCCGGCTGACGCACTGTTACAGGGACCGTGGAGCGACGCACCGGAAGTGACGTCAGGAAGAGGGAATCATAGCCCAAAACCAAAATCGCGGCCTCCGAAGAAGGCCGCAACAGAAGCCGGGGGCTCTATTAGCGGCCCCGAGGAAAAAACGGACAGCGGCCACAAAGGGACACCAGCTCCAGCACGGCAGCCCGACCCAGCAGCGCCACGAACCGCATCCCCAGGGAGCCTCAGCTGCTCCCACAGGCCGGCAGGGAACCAGGCAAGGCCCCGCTGGACCACAACACCCCAAACGCCCCCCAGAAAGGTAAGGGAAATGGGGGAGGGAATAGGGGAGGGGGGAAGCGGAAGCCAAAGGGAGAACCGGAACGGCCCTGAGCCCAGACACGGCCCCCACAGACTCACCCCAACCCCCACCACGGGTCACACACAGCGTCACATATACTCACAGGAGAGGACGCAGGCCATCCACAGTCTAGGCGCCGTCATTCAGGCTGGCCAGCTGCACAGGGGACACATAAGCCCAGACGCGCAGACGCTGCGGAAGCGGCGTCCCCGACCGCAGTCGCGGCGCCAGGGGCCAGTGGGGAGTACTGTGACTGGGCGGCCGGGACCCCCAGTCATATGCACCTCCTGGGACGAACCCACAGGCCACCCCGCCGGAGCGGGACTGCATGCGCTCGACGGTTGTCCAGGGGAGACTCCAAGGATCCGAGACATCCAGCCTGCCGCCCTGAGAACACTTGCTAGAAGATTCCTCTGAAAAAGATCAGGAAAAAGCAGGTAAGAATACCCGAGAAAAAAATCTTAGCTCCTTACTCCTCACGCTAGGCAAAAAACTGGAGACTTGTCAGCAGGTGGGGGGTTTGGCCACCAGCAGGGGCCGCCCCTAGGCTGTAAATGGTCTTTAGTTTTGTGCCTAGCGTCCTTCTCCTGCAGGTGGTGATATTACCCTACAGTACATGATCCTAGATCTGTTCCCTGTGTCCTTCAATGAACGCAAGAGAAAATACTATTGCCACTATTCACTCCATTCCCAGCACATAGCATTTCAGATCCTTATTATTCCATTTATGATTTGCATATTTAAAAATACAAAAAAGTAAAACTAAACACAGTCCCATTGAATAAGTCCTTTCAGCTATTAAATTTAGATTAAACTAGATGAACTTGTATCCAACTATTTTGAAGTATGAAAGAAGAAAAACACAATTTTCTTTTTTTTTTTAAATAACCATTTATTACTTTTTATTTCATGTTCTACATGTGATCTCATATAGAGTAGAATAGAAAAAAAAAACATTCCAGGGAATGGACATTTCATTTTGGTTTACTCAAAAACTCTATTCTTTTTATATCATGATTTCTGGTAGTGTTGACTTCGAAACAGTATCCAGTAAAGCCATTCAAGCCGAGTTACTTATTGACAATACAGATACAGTCTTGTGATCCAGCAAAGAGCTGTAAAACATAAATATAATAACTAAAGAACATCAGTTTATTGCACACAAAAGCTATTTGTATGTATATATGGCTAAATACTACATCACAAACAGGCATGAGACAATCATGCAACTAAACATTTTAGTATTAGAACCTTCACTTAAAGTGGACCTGGACTCAAAAAGTGTAGATTGGGTATCTTATATGGTGCATTTAAAAATGTTTATTATGTCTAAGCAGTACTTTTTTTTTTTACAGTGGCTTGCAAAAGTATTCACCGCCTTGGCATTTTTCCTATTTTGCTGCATTACCACCTGGAATTAAAATGGATTTTTATTTGGATTACATTTTATGGACATACACAAAATAGTCCAAAATGGTGAAAGAAAATAAACATGTTTAAAAAAAATTATAAAACAAATGAAAACATTGCGCCTGCATATGTATTCACCTCCTTTGGTATGAAGCCCCTACATAAGATCTGGTGCAACCAATTACCTTCAGAAGTGATATAATTAGTTAAAGTGACTCTAAACTCAGGAATTAAACCTTAAAAATGCATTCAAGTACCTTAACTATTAATACAAAGTTACCTTATTTGTGCATCATATGGCTTTAGATCCTCAAATCATGTCTGAATTCATGCCGACAGAGTCGTACATTCTGGAGGGTGGCTACGGTTTTCCCCATGGTCCCTGCGTGTGTTGTACAGTAGCCACCAGTCCAAGCTCAATCCTGTGATGGACTACATTCTCAATACAAATAAATAAACTAAACGTGAGATTGTAGTCCATCACAGTAGCAAGCTTGAAGTGGTGGCGGAACAAAAGTAGCCATCCTCCAGAAGGAAGGACAGTATCAGCACCAATTCATAGATGATTGGATTGGATCTACAGCCAAGTGATACACAATCAGGGTAGGTTATAAAAATATCTGAAACTTTGAACATCCCACGGAACACCATTAAATCCATTATTAAAAAAAATGGAAAGAATATGGCACCACAACAAGCCTGCCAAGAGTGGGCCACCCACCAAAACTCATGGACCAGGCAAGGAGGGCATTAATCAGAGGGGGGATAGTTATGCACTTTAAAATGTTCTGATTTGTATTGTCTTATTTCTTGTTTGTATCACAATAAAAAAATATTTTGCATCTTCAAAGTGGTAGGTATGTTGTGTAAATCAAATGATACAAACCCATTCATTTTAATTCCAGGTGGTAATGCAACAAAAAAGGAAAAATGCCAAGGGGGGAATACTTCTGAAAGCTGCTGTAGGCCTCTTTTGTCTTGAATTCTACCTGAAAAATAGCATTGTCTTTCCTGGTACATGCTTATTATTATTATACAGGATTGATATAGCGCCAACAGTTTGCGCAGCGCTTTACAATATGGGGCAGACATTACAATCACAATACAATTCAAGACAAGATGGTAAGGAGGGCCCTACCCCTGAGGGCTTACAATCTAAAAGGGAGGGGGAAGTGATACATGAGGAGGGAGCTGGGTGGGGATGAATTGTTTGAGAACGTGATGGTTGAGCGGTTAGGTTGAGGTGGGATAGGCTTCCCTGAAGAGATAAGTCTTTAGAGAATGCCTAAAGGCAGTCAAGGTGGGCGACAGACGGACAGGTTGGGGTAAAGAATTCCAGAGGATGGGAGAGACTCTAGAGAAGTCCTGGAGGCGAGCATGGGAGGAGTTGACAAGGGAGCTGGAGAGCAGGAGGTCTTGGGATGAGCGGAGCCGACGGTTAGGGTGATTTGAGACACATGATGATGCCTAGCCACTGCTGTGCATACAGCCTCATAGCTGTACATCTGCACTGTGAGATTAAAGTAGTATTAAACGCTCAAACTTTTTTTCAATAACTAATCCAGATCAAACAAATCTACATTGCACAGCAAAGTATTTTTATTTTTGACCAAGCACTTACAGTCATCCTGTTTCTGAACAGCTGGCTCCAACTCTCTCAGCTCAGCTTTCCTGAACTTCCTGCCCAGAACAAGATCATAAGAGACAGCCCAAAATCCAGCAACTGTTCATCTACTAGTTTGGAGGAGGGTGGAGGGAGTAGAGGGGAGCATGGTAGAAGGGATTAGCTTGCTTTGCTGTGTCTGTCTGTTTTTAGAGATACATGCAGCACTAGCACAGACAATGGTGACTCCATAGAACTTTGCTTGAGAAAAGAGCTACCTTGAAACAGGATATGAGGGCCAGTGTTCAGGGGGTCAGCTAATTATGCAGGAAACTAAAACCTTTAAACATCAAGGAGCAGTATCAATTGTAAGTGATTTCATCAGCATTTGGAATAGCTTAAAACAGTTTTGACTTTACTATCACTTTACGGTGCTGCTGCCTCTGATGGCTACTATAACATCTGGAGCAAGATTTGGTGATGTTACTACTGTGCTGCTTATTGTTGCCCTTGCTGGAGGCTCTGCCAGGGGGAAGCAAACTGCACAGCAGCAGTGTTCCTGGGACTAGATTTGAACAAATGGCTGTGATCAGGTGGTTGTCAGCCAGCTATTTCTTTACTTAGAGAAGTCTAGGGGACCATTTTGTTATAAGTTCATTGTCAATGAAGCAACCATGAGCTTACAGCAGAAGGGAGAATGCAGAAGACGCAAAGCATACTGACCTTGACAACTGGAAGTGGTTCTGCTTTGATGTATGCCTTACATTGGTGGAAGGGAAAGGGATAAAGAATAAATTATGTGTGTATATGTGTGTGTGTGTGTATATATATATATATATATATATATATATATATATATATATATATATATATATATATATATATATATATATATATATATATATATATATATATATATATATACACACACACACACAAAAAAAAAATGTAGCACAATATTGTTTTGATTTCAGCTTTGGTCCAACATGTGGGGCTTTCACTCCTTTTCATAGCTTTAGGCTCTCAGTTTGCTTATCAGATGGCTCAGTCAGAAGTTTTGATTAGAGCAATTGTGTCTCAAAGCAAGCATCTTTAGTCACTTGTCATAATGCAATTTTATTTGTACAACAAATATTGTACTTTTTAGTAAACAAAACAATTATTCAAAATTCAAACTGAAAACAATCCAAAACATACAGCTGACCCAAAACCATTATAATTTCCCCTTTTAGCCTATTTTTTGTATTTTTTGCATGGATAGTTCTAGCCTGCAAAATCATGTTTGATTATGTTGGCCGTTTTAGAACATTAACAGGAAAAAATACACAGCATATTTCAATAAACACTTAAAAAGTAAAATAAAAAATAAAATAAAGAACCGGCACTTCCTGTTCTACAGACAATGGTTTCACTGGACAGGAAGTCGGGGAAAATCTGCAACAAAGAAACAGGAGGAAATGAAGAAGAAATTCTAACAGGGGGTTCTAATCTTCCCCTATTCTACTAAAGAAAATCATTGTATTTCTGTTATTCTTCCACACTCTATTCAGAACTAAGTTTAGGCTGGACATACACACAACCGTATCTCCTGTGTCCGGAAAGAGTTGAGCGCTTGAGGCAGAACTCCATATTAAAGATTTAAAGGAAAAAAAAACGCCCAACAAAAGTAAAAATTAAAAGCAGCTTTTGCTGCTATACTTCCCCTTTATCTGATGCTGCCTGTCACAGTAAGTCTTCTCTGCCAATACAAGATGGCAGTCTTCCAGGTTGAATGACAGTTGTCTCCTTAAAGAGGACCTGTCACTTTCAACGTTCTATCATATAGGAGATTTCTCTTGTAATGGCAATACAATTAAGTGGGAAAAAAAGAAGAAGCCTAAAACATGTAGCGATAGGTCATAGTAGTGAGTTTATACTTATTTGTGGGGCTCCTTCCACAGGCAAGAGCTGTATATGGCAACATTTATGTACAATACAAAGTTTGAGTTTTTAAAAAAAACATTTTGATAAGAAGGGTAAAAATCTCTGTCAGGTTTATACTTTTGCGTCCCTGTTAGGGAGATTTAACTTTATTTCCTGTGCAGTCACCAAGACTGGATATGAGATGAATTTTTCAAATGGGGACAAAAGGGAACAAAATATATATTACTGCCCTATGCACAAAAAATGCAATTTTAAAGTAATTTTTCAAAACCATTTCTCTCTCTCCCGGTTCTCAATTATAAGTACAGCTGCCACAGCTGTGTGTGAAACACTATTAAACCAAACTGTACCTGTGAAAGCATTGGGTTCCTGAGTGTACCCTAATTAGGCTGAAATTCCTCTTAACTTTGCTCTTGCAACCCCCCTGAATTGCAATGCAAATCCCAACATTCCATAAATGCTGAGGTTTTGACATTTTGACATGGCTGCCATATGCCCCAATGCCATGCAGGCACCAATGAGACACCTACACTGCATTATGTTATACAAGTTCATCCTTAACATCTTGTCTGGAATTGTGACTGTAATGTCTTCCTTATATTGTAAAGCGCTGCGCAAACTGTTGGCACTATATAAATCCTGTATAATAATAATGATATCTCAGTTCCATTATGCTATAGTCCATATTTTGTGGCGTAAAGGTGATATGTGGAGTGCAGCAATGAGGAATTTCTAATGCCACGGGGATCACAGAATAAAGATGATTCCTAATTTGTAATATTTTGCACAGGGGAAAAAAAGATTTAATCCTTAAGGCAGAACTAAAGCCATATTAAGATTTGCAATGCTCAAAAAACATTATCCTTCGCCATAATATTACAAAATACTTACTGAACCCATATTGCTTTCTTCAGAAGTTAATCATTTTTCGCAGAGCATCAAAGCATTTCCATTTATCAGGTATATAGAAAGGCTCAAAGATGTGAGGAAATGGAGTGTCATATCCACATACTCTAGCTATAGGAGCTTCGAGATTCAAGAAGCACTCCTCCTGCAAATGAATTAAAAAGGCACAGCATGAGTATTGAAAAATATCTTATTAGTTGGGTACACGCTATGAGATTTTCAGATTGGCTGAATACCACTGATAACAATATCCGTCTTTAAGAATATGCACAGCTGGAAAGGCATTATGAACAACATTAAATTAGCAGTTTTGTAAACTGACCATTTATACAAGATGAAAACATGTAGTAAGCCAATTAAACACTGTACTCCATAAAGCTGTTGCAGCTGACAAGCTTCAACACAAAGGGCAAATCTATAAGCCTGAATTAAATCCTAAAATGTGATTTCCATGTGTTAACATCTGCCAAGCTACATTTCCAGTTGGTTTATTGAAATTGAAGTAAAATGGTTACTTACTGTTTAATCTCTTTATAAATGACACATAGTTGGGAATTAAAAGTACTATTTCTGTGTTTGCAGATGACACCAAGTTATATAGTGGAATACAGTCCTTACAGGATGTCTCCAACCTACAAGCAGACCTGAATGCACTGTGTGATTGGGCATCTATTTGGCAAATTAGGTTTAATGTTGAGAAATGTAAAGTTCTGCACTTGGGGACTAAAAACATGCATGATTCATACACACTAGGGGGAGTATGTTTGGGGGAGTCAATGATGGAGAAATATCTGGGTGTTCTAGTAGGCCATAGACTGAATAATAGCATGTGACGTCAAGCTGTAGTTTCTAAAGCAAGCAAAATACTTTCTTGTAATAAAAAGGGGTATAGACTCCAGAGATAGAGACATAATCCAGCCCTTGTACAAAGCATCAGTAAGACCTCATCTGGAATATGCAGTTCAGTTTTGGGCAAGAGTTCACAAAAAGGATTTTGTGGAGCTGGAGAAAGTGCAGCGAAGGGCGACTAAACTCATAAGAGGCATGGAGGAGCTCAGCTATGAGGAAAGATTAACTGACCTAAATTTGTTCTTTCTGGAGAAGAGGCAATTAAGGGGGGACATGATCACCATGTATAAATACATAAATTGTCCATATAGTGAGCTTGGTGCCAAATTATTCACGCAAAGGACAAGGGGGCACTCTTTGCGTCCGCAGGAAAAGAGGTTTAACCTTTGCATACAGAAAGGATTCTTCAGTTAGAGCTGTTAAAATGTGGAATAGACTTCCCCAGGAGCTAGTTTTAGCTAGCTCAGTTACCTGTTTTTAAAAAAATCGTAGATTGTTGATCCAGGGAATTTCCGATTGCCTTATGGGATCGGGAACTATTTTTTTCCCCTGTTGGACTTCTGACCTTTGCTAGATAGGGTTTTGTTTTGCCTTCCTCTGGATCAACAGTGTGTAACTGTGGGTATAGCGTTCTGTTGTAGGTTTTTTTTTCCCTTTTTTTTTCGTCTCTTCTCTTATAACTCTACAGGTTGAACTCAATGGATTTGTGTCTTTTTTGACCTATGTAACTATGTTACCCATTGCAACCAATCAAGGTTCATGTTTCACATGAACCAAGCAATCTATATTTTTTTGGCTAACTGCTACAGTAATTTTTGCTCACAGTTTTGTAAAGTTAGCCCAATGTCTTGCTAAAGTCCACTTGGACTGTGAAGCTTCAAGCTTGAAAGTTATACGAACTGAAGATATATATGTTTCACTTCCTATTTTGTTTAATAGTATTAATAAACCAAAAAAGTATTAATAAACCAAATGTTTTTCAAGATTTTGCCTCATCGTGCTTCTCTAACTCTAATAATTAAAACTCAAAATACAAATTTAATCACAAAGACTGGAAACCTCAAACACCCCTTTGGTCTTGTTGTATACAATATGAACATAAAGGAAATACAAAACCACTTTTTTAGTTGGAATGCTAAACCTAAGATACTGAGGTGTCCACAGGTATGCAATTGGAGAGCAGAGCATCTTGTTCATATGCAGAAAACTGTACTTTCAGCTTCGTGGTCCTTGAAAAGTAATGTCTCAGCATGATAATGCAGAAAACATGTAAGCAATCGAGTGCTGAAAGCTTGATACTGTTTATGATGAGAAGAACAAGCAGAACATTGCAACTAGGTTTACTACTGCATGCCAAAACAGCCTTTACAATCAATCACAGTATAGTGATCCTGTCATTAAACTGAATGTGTAAATAAAAGACATCCCTGTAAAGTTGTAAATTCTTACTTCTCCCTCCACACTGCTCTAATAAAGAGAAATGGCCGTTTGAAGTCTGTTCACAAAATTACACTTCTGGGAGTGTTGATCTGTGGTGCACTTCCTGAGCTCAGTGGTTCTATCTACTGATCTTTATGTCATTACCATGTCCTGCAGTGACACATGAGTCAGTGGGTGAAACCACTGAGGGCACATAGGAGATTAACACTTCCAGAAGTGCTCGCTCCTGAAGAGACTTCAGAGAGCGATTTCTCTTCACTACATGTTCTCTTATATTCACACATTTAGTTTAGTGATCAAGTCCCTTTTAGTAGCTTTGTAGATTAAAATGAACATGATAGGACAGCATTATGGGAAGCTGCCTGCAAACTTTTTTTTTGGCATGGTCTGCGGCTATCAACTTCCCAATCCTAGGGTGTTTCCATATATTTATATACACATACAACTAAGTGAGTCAGAGAAGTGGCGCAACCCCTCCACATTTGCTCTTTTCAGTGACAACCCCATGAAGTTTCCATTACAGAAAAGTCTGTAGACAAAAAGCTACTGCTGTGTTCAATCTTTGAAAACGCTTAATGCTCTTTGACACCAATGGCATGTGTTAACCATGTATTACATTAGTATTTTATAAAATAAATTTCTATGGATAGCAAAAAATAAACAAATAAAAAAGATTAGTTTAACATGTATGACCCAAACCAATGCAGCAGCTCCTTTGGAAGAATGCAAGCAATATATGTTTTAAAAAAGGATTTTTACACACAATAGCACAATACTGCAATTACAGCTGTCTCTAATTTCTAGTGTCAAGTTAAAGATCAGCAAACTGAAGGATTTATGATTGCACCCCGACATCAATAACTAAATAAGCCCTCACTGTTGAACTTCAAACACTACTTCCTGTACTCAGGATATAATATTGCAAGCCTGTATGTGTCATTATATTTCAAAAGAAAATTACTTCCATAATTACAGCACACCTTTGGTCTAACTGGTCCCTGAGACACTGCTGTCCTCTCATGATAGCTAGAATTAAAAACGGATATGTATTCATTTTACTAGTACACAAAATTGCGAATCACCACACGAACAGGGACACCACACCCCCAGGTATACAGAATACAAAAACAAAAATAGAGAAATGGGGCTTTAAAAGTGTCATCTATCAAATGCAAGGAGACCCAGTTCAAAATTACACATACAAGTCGCTTAATGTATAAAAATATATATATTCTTTATTAAAATACATAATTAACAAAGATGACAGATTAGTGATATCATAAAATGGTACAAAACATTTCTTTATATAAATATATCTTTATATAATTGCATAAATAATATATTCATCCATAAATGTTCAGTAGATCTATCATTGAACTGTTTTCCTTTCATTTTTAATTCGTTACATGATAGATCGTGTGATGATTGATAGTGTGCAAATAAATCATTTAAAAAAAAGCTAAACACAGATTAGAAAAGGAAGTGCGTAAGGATACTAATAAATTGACATGTGAGGCCTTTTCAACTGATATTTCAGTTTTGGAAAGATGCCAGTAGTTTAACCACTCATTACATTTGGCACATTATATTTTTTAGAGACTTTGTGAAAAGATATCAGGTTCACTTACCTGCTTCAGAGATTGCACTGGGGTTTCACTCTACCAACTATATATTACATTACGTTGCATCATGGAGAATGTAAGAAAAACGCTAAAAAGGAGGAGACAGGAATACTTGAAATCCTATCCGAACTAATTTTCTAGTGCTTGCCCCCCAACTAGCCAATCAGACTTTTAACAAAAATGTTTTTAAACCCTGTAATTATTTAACAAAATCTGTAGTCACATGACCTCCAGAGTCACAGCACCTCTTACAGTGGAGCATACTGGCCATTTCTTGCTGCTCTCCGATGTTTTCCGGATCAGTTAGTCATCGCCGGCTCACGACATCTTGGCATTAATCTGAACTAATCCAAGTGGACCTAGATAATGGGCAACTGCCAATAGGCAGTGCCCACATCACTAGGAACAGATGTGGACACTGCAAAAAGTACACTGACACAGCAGAGGAGAAGAATAAAAAAATCCGCCCAAGCCCACCACATAACCATTGTTTCAGGTAAGTCTTTGGTGTACCTTTTTTTAAATAAAAAAGGTGTGATTGGCTAGGGGCAGGTGGAGTGGGAAGGGAAAGGGTATTTTCAATGGCCAGAGACAGACTTTACCTACGGCATATTTCCCTACTACTGTATATGTTTCAACCAAACTAATAGCCCACTGAAGCCTCTGCAACAGTTGAACATCATTGTATTCAATACATTCTTTAAACACACAAATTAATTAAAGCCTGACAGCTGAAAGCTCAAATTTCCTTATGGTTGGTTTAAAGGATCATTTGTGGTATAAACTTGTGACCTTACATTATCATATTCTAAAGAGAGAGTTGGCCAAGCATCTGACATGACAAAATGAGCTCTTAGAAAAACTGAAAAATGTATAATGCATGTGGGGAGTTGCTTTCATAAGGTTTCAATATATTTTCAAATGTGTTAATAAACAAGTCATCTGTTCAACAGTTTCTGGATAATATATATGGCACCAAAAGGCAAATAAATATTGCACTTGAGCCCAATCTGTCTTTCAAATTGTTTATTAACTTGTAGTTTGACCATGTGCATAGAAAAAGCATTCTAATTGAATTAACACAGCTCACATACAGTATGTTGAACAAACTGGTTTATATTAATCAAGTTTATACTAATACTTCTGCAATCTTGCATTAGGAATACTCTTATTAAACAGCATTTAATACCACTTACTGCCACAAACATAAAAAACCTCACTATTTAGTTATGCA